TTGTTCCCCCATGGTACCTCCGACGGTCAAGTTAGCTAATAAACTTGAGTGGGGAAAATGAATAACTGCGAGAGTTCTTGTGTGTGTGTAGTATAAGCAGATCTGAATTCAAAGATTTGTTCAAAGATCAGTTTTGGGTAAAAAACTAGTTACCTTGGTTTCTCCAATAGTACCATTATTTATACTGAAAGTATAAGGATAAATTGGTCACTTCGACCGAGCACAGTAGGGCGGTGGCGAAGTGTGGGATGGCGGCCACGTCAGCATTACTTTACAGGTGTTAGTTGGTGACTGGGAGAAAGATCACCTCGGCATTGAATGGGAAGTTGTCGAAGGTATGGTGGTGCTGACGTGGTCCGATGAGTCATGAAGACTATCGGAGCTAGAGTCGTGATGGCATCTGTCATGTATTGAATGCGATACTGACACGTTACGAGAGGGAGAAGCTCGAGGTAGAAATTATCCTTTAGCTTCGCTGAGAAGTAACGCCAATCGAGTCGTCCTCACAATGCGTTGAATAAATGGTCGAGTGGACCCCTGGCGAGTCGCCTTCGACGAGAGGGTCGACTGGTACTGTTTTTCGAGTCAACATGAAGAATATTGACTCGACGAGTAGGCTAAGTCGGAATACTCGCTGGGCTTAGGCCACCAAGTTGATTGGGGTATTGCTCGCAAAAGTACACATGTCCGTTACTTGACAATAAGTTGCATTTTGGCGAGTGAGAAGACAATAACAGTTATCTAACACCGTATTATTTAGAATTATTTTCTATATTTTAAAAAATTTAGCATACAATTTTCTAAATTTTTAAGATTTTAAACAATATATAAATCAATACAATTAAGACTTTACACATATTTACGTATATTTTGATATATTTAAAATTCTCATCTCTTCTGTACAAATATTTTCACTCTCTAAATGTGCTTTTGAGTTAAAAAAAACCCTGAATTTTTAGGGTATATGTGGATAACCCCCTTTAATTATTTCAATTTCAAAGTTTACGGGGTTTGTGGAATAATACAGCTCAGAAGGGTATCTGTAAATTCCCAATTAATCCTTTTTTGTATCCCCTTATATGAGTTATCGAATTGGCACTGGCCCTTTCTCACTTATGGTTTTCAAGCGAGCCGGCCCATTATGCGTTTTCATTGGCGGTAAGAATTTGAAGCCCATGCTTGATACATCTTGGAGCATGGAAAATTGACCTGATTACCTACTCATATTTGTATCGATGGATATGTGAAGTCTCAGTTAAGGGCATTTGGTCTAGTGGTATGATTCTCGCTTTGGGTGCGAGAGGTCCGGATATGTGAAGTCTCAGTTAAGGGCATTTGGTCTAGTGGTATGATTCTCGCTTTGGGTGCGAGAGGTCCCGAGTTCGATTCTCGGAATGATTTGGTCTAGTGGTATGATTCTCGCTTTGGGTGCGAGAGGTCCCGAGTTCGATTCTCGGAATGCCCCACACCCAGCTAACAATTTATTGCATGTTTTGCTTTTGGTTTGGGGGAATGTTAATGGTTTGCTATCATGTAATGTAATCATTTAGCTGTTAGTGTGCACTGTACCTTTGGAGTTGGGGATATAGCTACCTTTCTATGCAGCCATTTTTGATAAATCCAGACAGGCCACTTCTTCATCTTGGAGCCCTATCCTATTTCTTAAAATTTAAAAAAAAAAGGATTTGTAAACTTTCACAGACTGTACCTTTGGAGTTGGGGATATAGCTACCTTTCTATGCATGAATATGATCTGAGGCTTCTCTTCTCTGCAAGTGATGAGTTCACCCCACACACAGTCACCCCCACCCCCACCCCACAATCGCTACCGCCTGAAAAAAGAAAAGAAGTTGCCATAATAGTCACCCCCACCATACAATCCCGCCCACCATGAAAAAAGAAAAGAAGTTGCCGTAATAGTCTGTGAATGGAATTCTGGATCTTTGTACACTTTTTTTTTTGGTTCTGTATTCATTGGTTTCTGTAATAGTTTGCTACAGTGTTGATCCCAAAAAAATTCATTCTGAACCAAACTAGATATTAGGAATTGGAAGGTTTCTATAAAAGTGAGATTCTATTTTTCCATGGGGTGAAACAAACATAGAATGAAAAAAAGGGATTCCATAAAACTACAAAGTTGTCTTAAAATTTTTTATGGAATAGATAGGAATCCATAAAAAAAACCGGATTCCTAAACCTATTCTTGTTTATTTGTGAAACAAACAGCTCCTAAGATTCCAGCCCCTGGACTATTCCAATCTTGGGCTACCCTGCAAAAACCTAAACCCCTAGCTCAACTCAATAGCCCTACAACAAACTAATTTAGGCTCCCAGCTCAACTCAACTCTTAAGGGGGTGTTAGTCAATTGGGACATTTTCATGCAAAATGGGATAATTGTTAAAGTGGAATAATATTTCGCTAGTGGGATATTTTAGTGGGATAACTAGGAACAATTTTGTGAAGCAGGATATTTTGATAAAATAACGTGGGATAATTTTTTATAACCATGAAGTATATATTTATGCATTTTGAAGATATAAATACTATTTATGTATTTTAAACTTACTATTATTAATTGATAATTGCTTACAAGAATGTTCGTTACTATTAAATAACTTTTGGTTAGACTATAAGATATTAACAATTATTATTATGATGATGGTCTAATGATGGTGATAACCATAATAGGAAATAAGTAAAGAAAAAAAAATAAAAAATAACAAAATAAATACGAGTTCTAGTTTTTTACCACATAGTTCCAAGCTAAAACTTGGAATAATTTGAGAGACTAGAACTCTCATTTTTGTATAGAAAAATAAAAAAAGTGGGATAATTTTGTACAATTATACCAATTCTAGTTTTGTTAAAGTTCTGCTTGACTAACACTGTAAAATTTTATTCTAGTTTTAGTTCTATGTGACTAACACCTTAAAATTTTGTTCTAGGTTTAGTTCTATGTGACTAACACCTTAAAATTTTATCCCACAGATTATCCCAGTTCTAATTTTAAGTTCTAGGTGACTAACCCCCCCTAAATTAATAACATTACTATTGTAATATTGCACCTTGTGAAAACAACATTTTTAAATCGAGTGAAAATAATTTGTCGTGCCTTACTGTTATGGTAATTTACCTTCTAAAGATGAAGATATCGAAAGATTGTCTGCATAGGCTTAAAAAAGCCATTGTCCAAACCAGCTTAGAGGCCCAAAAGCCCAGCCAAGGGCAAGTCTATCAGCCAGCCGAGCAGACAAGCCATCTTTTGACCAAGGGTCATCATTACCGACTCGAAGTGCGGGATCAATCGGTCCCTCGTAATTAAGACGACTTCTCAAGCAGACGTCTCGACCATACACTCGACCCGAAGCTCACTCGGCTGTCGGGTCGGAAAATCATAATGACAACTCACGAACCGACCGGCCTCTACTAAGGGGATGAGATCCAGAGCCAAGCTCGCTTCAGATATCAATCGGCACTACAGTATTGATCAGTCCCATCAAGATCTCCGTTCTGACAAATCCCGTGCATAAGCCGCTTATTCTACTCACAAGTCACTTCCCAGGGATCGCCATGATGCTCTCCTGGGCTCGAATACAGCCAGCCGAGCAGACAAGCCATCTTTTGACCAAGGGTCATCATTACCGACTCGAAGTGCGGGATCAATCGGTCCCTCGTAATTAAGACGACTTCTCAAGCAGACGTCTCGACCATACACTCGACCCGAAGCTCACTCGGCTGTCGGGTCGGAAAATCATAATGACAACTCACGAACCGACCGGCCTCTACTAAGGGGATGAGATCCAGAGCCAAGCTCGCTTCAGATATCAATCGGCACTACAGTATTGATCAGTCCCATCAAGATCTCCGTTCTGACAAATCCCGTGCATAAGCCGCTTATTCTACTCACAAGTCACTTCCCAGGGATCGCCATGATGCTCTCCTGGGCTCGAATAACTTCTCATCCAATCACTAGCCGCCATCTGGAGGGGGAAGGATGACCAAGCAGCTGGCTTATCTTCTGCCCTGCCTCATCTGTCAAATCCAGGGTACTGAAAAGATACTTCTCTCCTGTACTCGAATGACTTCCCTTCCAATTGCCAGTCGACATCTGAAAGGAGAAGGATGACTTAGCAGCATGTCTGCTCACCCATCAACCGCCTCCTGTGCATAGTCAAAGCCAAGGGTCCAACTCTCAGAGGCGATGGGCTATAAAAGGAGGAAAAGAAGGTAAAAGAGGGGGGGATTTTTCTGCTACTTCTTCATAAAAGCTCTGAATCTCCCTTTGCTAAAAAAAACTAATAACTCTCAAAGAGTACCCTCTAAGGACCTCAATGGCCCATGGACTCTTCCTCAAACCCCACTCAAGCTCACCAGCTGACTTGACCGTCGGAGGTACCACGAGGTAAATGAGCCCCGCCCTCCCACTGGTTTCTTTTTGTTTGTGCAGAAGGATCAGGAATTCCAGTCCAATGATCGGGCATAAAGTCGGAGGAGGAGTCGACCCCATCTCTCATCCTCTCCCTATTCGCCGCCAGCACGAAGACCAGAACTGCAACCCCTCGACTGTGTGATATTAGACATCAGCACTTACAATAAATTTTTCTTTCTCATATTCGGATCTTTTGTAGTTCAGTAAATTAAACAATAATTAAAGAGAATCTATTTACTCAAGTCATAAAATATTATACACAGAAGCTGTTGAAGAATGATTCAAAGTTGACTTTGTCTTTAGTTGTTATTTTGTTAGTGGAGTAGTGGCTAATAAATCTGAAATTAGTTTAGATTTTTATGGTGATTAAGTTGTTTTGTAAGCCTATATAAAGGCACTTTTAGTTGATGAATAATATAGAAAAATATTATCTCCTCATCTCCTCTCTAATTTCCAACATGGTATCAGAGCTCCAAGTTTCTTGGGTTTGTGAGGATTTTAAAAAAATATAGAGTGATGTCCTCTTCAAAAACGAGGAGAGTGGGGATAAAAACCCTAGCCCTAAAATCAATGGCGGAGGCGATGATGAAGAGCAAGGCAGCGGCTTTAACCGTCGCCGAGAGATGCAGAAGCATTTTGGGTGCAAATTCCCAAGCTCACCTCAACACCATCAAAGTCGACTCCAAAGGCAGCAAGAGTGAGATTCACACTTCGAAGGTGCACTATATTTTCAAGAGGGGAAAGCCTTACCTCTGGGTTCATGAAGGAGACTTGCATAATACCAACATAATCATTGATGAGCGAGGTTCTCTTTCTGTCAGCAATGTCGTTCCAGGTCCACTTACGAGTTTGCTCAAATCTATAAGAAAGCTGCCAGCTTGTGCTGCTTTAGCGGGTGACGTTATACCTCTTAAAAAATAAATTTTATTCTAGGAATCATGGTGAGATGTGCGCCATGGAGAGATTGAGAGAAGTGCTCCTTTAAGAAATGTTGGTGATTATGTGCGTCAACAAGATTGAGATGAGAAGTGCATCACAAAGTGGAGAGAAGTGCTCTATGAAGATTCAAGAGGAATGACAAGAAATTTTGAATCAAGGGGGAATGTTGAATAACTGATTCAAATTTGTTATTAGGTTGTTATTTTGTTAGTGGAGTTGTTGCTAATTAGTTTAGATTTTTATGGGATTAAGTTGTTTTGTAAGCCTATATAAAGGCACTTTTAGTTGATGAATTTGGCGATGATGAAGAGCAAGGCAGCGGCTTTAACCGTCGCCGAGAGATGCAGAAGCATTTTGGGTGCAAATTCCCAAGCTCACCTCAACACCATCAAAGTCGACTCCAAAGGCAGCAAGAGTGAGATTCACACTTCGAAGGTGCACTATATTTTCAAGAGGGGAAAGCCTTACCTCTGGGTTCATGAAGGAGACTTGCATAATACCAACATAATCATTGATGAGCGAGGTTCTCTTTCTGTCAGCAATGTCGTTCCAGGTCCACTTACGAGTTTGCTCAAATCTATAAGAAAGCTGCCAGCTTGTGCTGCTTTAGCGGGTGACGTTATACCTCTTAAAAAATAAATTTTATTCTAGGAATCATGGTGAGATGTGCGCCATGGAGAGATTGAGAGAAGTGCTCCTTTAAGAAATGTTGGTGATTATGTGCGTCAACAAGTTTGAGATGAGAAGTGCATCACAAAGTGAAGAGAAGTGCTTTACAAGATTATGGAGAGAAGTGCTCTATGAAGATTCAAAAGGAATGACAAGAAACTTTGAATCAAGGGGGAGTGTTGAAGAATGATTCAAAGTTGACTTTGTCTTTAGTTGTTATTTTGTTAGTGGAGTAGTGGCTAATAAATCTGAAATTAATTTAGATTTTTATGGTGATTAAGTTGTTTTGTAAGCCTATATAAAGGCACTTTTAGTTGATGAATAATATAGAAAAATATTATCTCCTCATCTACTCTCTAATTTCCAACAGAAGCGATTTTCATTTTTAGTGATTTCCAAGACTACAAATAATTTTCTCGATAATCATCAATTTCTATGTGCCTTCGTCTAAGTCTTAACCCATCGAAATCTGAATAAGCAAAGAAAAATTCCCCAATGACCCAAAATATGGGATCAACAGGGGGAACAAATAAGTTATCCTCATCTTATTACATAATGAGCTGACCATCATTAATGATGACCAACTTATTATGCAATAGAAAAGAGGCATCTCAAATGCCTCAGCTGTTAGTCCCATGTTTTAGGCGCTTATAGCAAAGCTCATAAGCAAAATACTATATTTGAGTAACCCGCATCTATTTTCGTACCCCCTCGGCTCGATCTCCTCTTTCTCCTGCCCCCTCGCTAAAAAGAGGCTCATTTCCCAAAAACTAAAAAATCATCACAGAGAGAACCCTGACAAAATCTCCAATGGCTAACCTCCTCCGTCCCGTGCAAAGATCCCTTCCCCTCCTCAATCGCCGCCTCCAGTCGCGCCCCTACTCCGCCTTCAACGACAACCTCCTTCGCATCCTCAACAACGAGCTTGCCTATCTCTCCGACTACCAACCCCCTCTCCAGGTAACCCTAAACCCTAAACCCTAACCCTAATTTCCTCCGATCTTGACAAAACCCTAACCCTCCCTTCTCCTCTTCAAAAGCCCCCTCCTTATTTCAGGTCTTTCTCCATCGATGACCGCCCCGGCGAGCAGTGGATCAGGATGAAGAGCTCGAACCCGGCGAAGAACGAGGAGATTAAGGTCGACGCGGCGCTGTTCGATGGAATTGCCCCGATCCCCGAAGCCAAGAAGGCGGTTTATGAAGGGGAGGTGAGGTTGCACGTGAGCCTTGTGGTCGAGGTCTCGAAACGGGACGATGAGGGTTCGGGTTCGGATTCGGATTCGGTTCTTGTGTTCATTTGCTCGGCGTGGCCGGAGTCAATTGAAGTGCAGCAGGTTTTCCCGCTGAGGAAGAGGAATGCGATGGTGAAGCCCTATATGGGGCGTAATTTCAAGTAATTTTCTGCGTCTCTTTCAAATTTGAATCCTTTTCTGTTAATTGAAGTGCAAAAGTGACGATTTTGGTGATACATTATTTGTATAACTGGTAGAATCTTTGAATTTTGATGTTCAGCCATGATTTTAGGACCAATAAAAAAAAGGAGCTCCACTCAGCAAATAAATAGTTAAATCTGGTAATAGCAAGCAGTTTTATATATGAATTTCTAGTTTGAATGAACTGTTAATCTTTTATGATGTGTAATGCTATAAGCCATAATTTTGACGATGGAATTATTAGGTGCTCATAGGCCTCATACTTTGTGATTGTGAGGGTACTCGGAAACATTTATTTTGGGAAATGTTAATATGATATTTGTGGTTAAATGTGTTAATGGAATTTCGAAAGAGGTGTATTATTTGTGTAACCAAAGGAATGTTAAAAAAAAATATTAGAAATTCAATTAGTTTTGATTGAAGAAATACTTTAAATCATGGCATTTGGTTTAAAACATAAAAATGTTGTACTTGGCAAATAAATAGTTTTTTTTGTTAATAAATGAGAATTTTGATCTGTGGATGTTCAGAAAGCTGAGCAAGGAGGTGCAAACTGCTGTACTTGGTTATTTAGAGGAGAGGGAGGTTGATGATGAACTTGCTGAGTTTCTACACCAGTACATGGCAAACAAAGACAAGGTTGAGGTCCTTCGATGGATGAAGACTCTTGAGTCCTATGTTCGGAAGTAGACAGGTTTAATGGTTGTTATAATTTACCTCTTGTTTCTCTACTCACTGAAATCATTTTGTTGTGGATTTCGATTCCCATGAGAAAATTTTGATGATTCTTCAACGATATATTAACATTACTGTTGTAAAGCTTCTTCTTTCTTTAACTTATTCATCTTTTGTGGCCATGGTGTTCTTTGAGTTGAAGATTGCAAGAACTAGTTTCCTGTATGAATTCAGGAAATAGTAATATGTTGATTTTCTCATTTCCATATGGTATTTTGGGACCAATGAAGGGAGTCAATGTATTATTATTCCGTATTGGAGACAAGATTATGAGTGGCATTGCTTGGGGGATGCAATTTTCTTGTTCCCGGTCTCTTGTCTTTTAGATCTAGAATCTAGATTACCAATCTATACCATGAACCTAGTACTATAATTGAGCATAGGCATCCCATTACTGCAGATCTGCAGGAGAATTTTATTATTACCTTGTAAACATAGAGGGAGGATGGCCTTGACAGTAGGCATGTAACGACTCATGTAGAATTTGTGGTAGGTGTAACTTTCAGTCAATTTTCGTTAACCAGTAGATGCATCTGATTATGGAATATCCTTTTTCTCGGTATGACAATGTCTTCCTTTCTTTTAAAAACATCAGCTGGAATGTGGATCTGTTGAAGAGTAATCTCAGCCTTAAAATTTGCACTTAACTTCATTTCCAAGTTAATTTTGTCTCCTTAAGGTTTAATGTCTACTGGATGATACTAGTTAACCTAAGTTCTGTTCAACCTTGATCAAGTTCATTTCTAAAAAAAAAAAAAAAAAAAAAATCTTCCTAGCATTCTCAGGCCCTAAAATTTTTGATTGTTTAAATGGGACATACATTATAAACATAGTTGAAAGTGGAATATATATCTCTTATATTTTACATTTGGTTCGGAAAATTCTCAAGCAACTTGACTTCTGGTATAACTGTGGTTTCAGTGCAAAACCCATGAAATCAGTCAAGGCACTATCTATATTTTTACGCGAATTTATTTTTATGTCCAACTTAGTATATGTAATAACAGGTTAATTCTCATGACCGATTGAGCCTAGAGTTTATTTTGTTTACTACTATTAGCAGAAGTGCAAAAATCAGGCCCAGTTCTGGGGTCTGAAATCAAAAGAGATCTCGCTGTTTCTTCTGTTCTACTCTCTTATCTCTTTGTTTTTCTACTTAGTTTCTATTATTTGTTGTTATTATTTTACAGATTCCTTTTAAATTTGTCCTCGTCTGTGGTGGCTTTCATGGAAAAAAAGATAGAATCTTTAAGGATTTAGCTTAATATATGATTAGTTTCATAGATATAGTTTTTCATTTTTATCTGAATTTTCAGGTAGTTGTTTTCAGATCTCGTTTTCCTCCATATTTTCTTTTGTGACCACTTGGTTGTTTAAGTTACCAGTTCTCGCACTTTTGGATCCAACAGAGGTCCTAATTCTTGCTCATAAGTCTTCAGACTGTAATAATAAATTATACTACCAGTTCAAGAATGTCCCGAATCACATAATCATCTACTAGGATCATTTTAAGGTGAAGATTGGTTCCTTTAGAAGAGACAGAAATATTGATCAACTGCTGGAGACACTAGTTGAGACTTGAGAAACATACAATCTTCATAGTCCCACAGGTCCCCTCTAGGACTTGATAGTGTTAGGCCAAGATGTCTCAACTTTGAGTTAGAATTGTTCTATGATTCACACCTTCTAGTTATTAACTTGGGCCCCGTTTGACAAAGGGTTAAGGAAGAGGGGTTAAATAGAAGGATTAATGTACTTAGCCCATTCGATAATCTGAATGACTAAATTATTAACCCGTTAAATAAGTTTTATTTTAGCCCTTGTGATTAGTTTTAGTTTTTGGGAATAATAATTATTTTGACTATTTTCTTTATAATTAGAAGGGTTAATGATGCGAAACGAAACAGGGGGTCTATCAGAATCAGCGATCTAATTTGAACAAAGCACCGTTTCGCCAAAAAATCATTTTATTCTGTAGGAAATTAATTAAAGCAGTTAATGCGACATATGGATTTTAACAAGATTTGCAATGATAGTCATAAACAATCCCAATCTCGAATAATTTAATTGCAATATTCATTATCATTGCACAAGTTTTACAATCAATATCAATTTTTAACAATCACATGTTCAGTTTCTCTCAACTCACAATTATACTTTAAGCAGTGAATATATGATAAGAGTTTAGAGATGTATTATTCATGCAATTAACTAACAAAATGAAATCAACAAAAAATAAGGGACGAAAGAAAACGAAACCTTCGTCGGTCTGAACAGACTCGACGTGAGAGACCTCTGGAGGTGGGGTGACGACAACGGTGAACTGAACGACGACGACGAGTGCGACGGTGTTGAACTGATAACGACGTGGTGACGAATCTGAACGACGAAGGTGGCGATGATTCTGAGCAGCGACTAGAGTGACGGCGTCGGTAAGGTTGACGAGACGATAGCGATGTGATGATTTGTGGTAAGCAGCTGTGGTAGTGATAGTATTGCTCTGGTGGGGAATTTTGCCAAACAGTTGGTGTATATGAAGGCGGCAGTTGCTGGGAAAGGAGGCTCGGTGACAGTGGGAGTAGGGCGGCTGCTTGGGAGGAGATGATGGCGCTGGTGGTGCGGAGGTGGAGATCAGAGGCGAGCTGAGTGTGGATCTTGGTGGTTGCAGGAAAGAGGAGGGTTTGACTGATTATTGACGTTGGGAAGACGAGGGAATGTTTGACGACTGGAGAAAGAGGACACAAGGAACGACCTAGGGTTTCACACCCGAGGCTTAGGTTTCACACCCAAGGCTTCACACCAGATTTTAGCTAATGCAATTTTTCATTCAATAATTTATTGATTTTCAATAGTCTCATACAACCTTATTTATAAAAAAAACTACGTGCACACAACGTGCAATAAAAATAGAAACAAACAACATTCCCTCAAATCACTCAACTAAATTTTAAAATTCAAAATTTAAAATTTAAAATTCAAATTTCAAATTCAAATTTCAAATTTTAAATTTTAAATTTCAAATTTCAAAAATCAAAAACAAAAGAAAGTCAACTAATCAAATATGGAAATTGTCATTTCTTGTCCTCATCAGTTAACTATTAATCATTCTAAATAAGAGTATTAGTAAACCTCTCATTTTGAGGGGTTAACTCATTTTAATCCCTCTAGAGGGGTTAGCTTAACCCTTCTATATTTTTTATGTTTGGCAAATTATAGAGAGTTAACTCACTTTAACCCTTGTATAGATTTTTTGTGTTTGGCGGATTAAGAAGGGGTTAAGTCTCCTTAACCCCTCACTTAACCCTTTGCCAAACGGTACCTTGAAGAACTTTTCTGTATTTCATTTCCTTTTGCTGATGACTTTCTTTTTGTCTAATGTACAAGATATATGATTAGTGCTTAATTCATATCCTAGAATCAGGGAACTAGAAGCAGAAGATGTTTAAAACTTTTGTTCTTAACAGGAAATCCTAAAGCCTATTCGAAATGTTCAAATCTTGTGATTTGTTACATAATGAGGTACTGTTAGCTGATGTTCATTTGTAACCATAAGACGTTAAAAATTGTAGGTATAAATAAGCGATAATAAATTTTTTATTACAGCAAATGGTATAAGTAGATAAGTCCTTAGCAAATATACAGTGATTTGGTTTACCTGCATAATTTTCACTTCCTTTGTTTTCTTCTCCACTTGACCTTTTTGGTATACTATTCTTTTTTGTTTTTCTTTATATTATTTGTGTCCGTGTTCATGTTTAGAAACCAAAAAGCACAATGGTGGATGACCAAGTATGGTGAGGGCTGTTCCGTTTTGCATCAAGCATCATATGGTCCCATTTGAGTTCTCTACAAACGTACAACATCAGGTACCTTTGTGATGTTTTAGCATACTAAAAATATCACTTTGTCACTTATTTCTGCTACTGCTACTAACATTTCATAATTACAATATGAGTTTCTGAAGTGGACCTTTTAATTATTATGCTTTGTGTGGGCTTTGGCTTACACAAGGTGGTCATACTTGGAAACTTTACATCAAGCTAAGTACTTTTCTGTTTGGAGTTCTCCTATTATTATGATGGTCTATGTAACAATTCCTACTGTTAAATGATTTAAGTTTTTCTCCTTGAAGTTATTTCTTCTTATATTGGTTTTGCGATTTAGTTGAACTGTACTCATTGTTTGTAAGATTTGCCATAGGTTTCCCACCCATTGTTTTGTTCATAAAATGCTTTGATGGCTTCACCTAGTGTAAGTTCACTATATTAGAGTCTAACATGACAAGGTCTGACCAGTTAGGAGGGAAACCATGTACCAAAACTAGAAGACCATGGTCTTCGAAAGAGAAGTTACCTTAGATTGCTGAGGTTTTCTTTAGTTCTGCTTTATAGCTGGGACCCCATTTAGATTGCAAAGCCTTCAATGGTCGTACTGATGACATGAGATGATTGCTCTAACCTTGTAAATTAATAATAGTATATTTGCTTCTAAGGAATTTGTTAAGTGTAAAAGTTGGAAGTTGAGTCCTCTCCTGACTTATCTGTAACAACTTTGTTTTTCTTTTTCTCGCCCAATTTTAAGAAGCTGTATATGCTAAATATCTGAAGTTCTTACATAAAAAATTATCAAGCACTTCTCTGATTCCTTGAGATCATTCAAACTGAGGTGCTTTAGTTCTTGGCTAATTTTCAGCAAAAAAACACATTTGAAAGAGATTGAATAAGAGGAAAACTGTGAACCAAGGTTAATGGAAAATTCCATTCGTTTTAGGATCAATATTATTTCAAAGTCATTTGTATCTCTATGTATGATTGCAACTAGATCATCCGGTATGTCATATTTACCTGTACGATGCTGTCAAGTAATCAAAATTAATAACTTTGGTTATACCTCTCTTGTATGTGCTCCTTTTTAGGTCAGTTCTCAAGCTACTTTGGACTTTGGATGCAAGCCACTCTTGAAGCAGAAATTAACTTTGTTTTGTTTTAACTTTTAAACCTATCTGATCAGACAAATCTGGCACTTAGTCCACCATTTCGACTGTTAAAATGTACTTGTGCTAATATCTTGGAATCAAGCTTTACCTGTTATTGTTGCTCAGTTATAGTTTACTTGTGAGTTTAGAATACTGTGTAAATGTATTCCGTGTGACCTGATTGTTTTTAGGGATTTTTACAACCCATAAGGGAAGCAGATTAGTTTTGAAATATACTTTTGATATCTTTTGCACTATTTCTTTCTGGGGATAAAGACAATCATCAAAAGTAAATTGCATCCAGCATTTCTTATTATATGTCTTCTTACAATAATGTCGCTTGCCCTCTATTCAGGAGACTCTTTTTTGGGTTTTTTTTTGTGCTATAGATTGTTTTTTTAATGTATGAGCTGATCGTTTTTAATCGTGTCTGTAGTAATCCTTTACGAACCTCTGTGGTAATCCAACCTCTGTGGTCCTACTTTTTATAGGCATTCCATTATCAATAAATACTGTTTATTACAACATTCATGCGTTCACATCATGACACTTAGTTTCTTATGGGAATTGGTAATTGCCAATTCCCAACTTGTTATTCCACAACCATCTGGCATCATATTTCTACGAAGGATGCTAACCTCTACTCTTGGTTTGTCTTTGTTGATGGAGGCAAACTCCATGATTTTTGATATGGCACTTGAGTGACATGTATCTTGGACTTTCTATGCTAACATCTACTGTAGGTTGTCTTTGTTGATGGAGGCAAACCCCAAAATCTTTCATATAGATAATTATTAGCCTTCGCACTGAAGCATAAGGCTGCCATAGCATAGCACATATTAGTGCCTATACATCTTCATGCCATCAATTCATGCTTATCATGCCATAGCATATATTGGTGCCTATTCATTACATCATCAAACATCTTCATGCTTATCATGCCCCCTTATATGTCTATTCTTGACTGATCTACCAAAGTTCTGTTGCAGATCTCATGCATTATGGAATCAAATTCCTGTTGAATAATGGAGTTGTTGAAGTGGAATCCGAAGCACCTTCATGAATAGGACATGATGGAGTATTGGACCTGAAGTCACTTTCCAATTGCTTTTGGAGGTAGGCCCAGAAACTGTTATTTTTTATGTGACTTGGACCCCTTGCAACTTGATTAACTGGAAGACTTTGTTTATATTTGTATTTTTAAGTTTCATTTTGATAGGAACATTATTATGTGTTAGATATTGAGCTAGGAGGCTCGTGTCTTTCTAGGTATACATCATGCCTGCATAGAATAAAGCAGTACAGATGTAGTTATCGAGATAGATAGCTCCAAAATTGTAAAGTATATGAAGGGGAAGTGAAACCACCAAACTTTTGTCACCTCATTTGGATGTTTATTCCTCCTTTCATCAATAAATAATTGCGACAATCTTATCCATAATCTTGGGGAGATTTAAATACGTATATGATGACGCAGGTTGATAGAAAATGAACCTAAAAGGAACTGAAAGATTAGATAGAGGAGAGTGACCCTGAAGAATCCTGAGACTTCACAATTCTAGAAGCTCTTTATTCTCTTCATGTTGTTCCTAAAATGCTTTAAGCAATGAAAGGATCACATGAAAATGTGTTTTCTAGAGTATCATATTTTTAAGAATAACTCTGTGCACTCAATATTTATTTGAGTTTTATTTATTGTTTATGATGGTGAATTATTTTATTTTTCTGGAAAGACAGATCATTTGGCCTGCGGCGGCATTTGGATTCACTCATGCACATTCATAACTCATAAGCTGACATGGTAAGGGCTGCCACTTTGCATACTGCATCTGGTTATTTATACTAGCAGTAATATTACCTTCAAAATCCCAAAGACTATGGGAGTTACTAGTTTAGCACAGATAATACAAAATCACATAACTATATATCATGTGTTGTACATTCAATTTCTTTTTATGTATTGAAGTAGTTGTTTGTGCAACTCTTCTTCATGTTCTTATTATATACAGGATGGAAATTTTCAGTATTTGCTTAAAAACAACCAATTAAAATAAGGATTTGGATCCTCTCCACTACAAAAAAGTAGTGGAGAGACCACTACTTTTAATCTCAAACGTTGATTATTTAGTAGGTGGTTATGATACAATCTAAATCTAACACTTACCATACCCTCGTGTATTGCACTCATTCTTAATTTGCAATAAAAGAAAAAATCATAACCATCAACTAGATAATCAATGGCTGTGATTATGTAGTGGTCCCTTCACTATGTTTTTTGTAGTGGAGAGGATCCGAATCCTTAAAATAACAATACAAACAAGTAAAAATATTCAACTCTTGATCATCAATCTAAAATTCAGAAAATATATCAATAGCAACAGAGAAAAGTCACCTATAAGACTATATCCCACAACAAATAAAAACTAAACCTATGAAATTAATAAACCAAAAATCAGTAACTAACCTAAAGCTTTAGAGACAAGTCCAGTTTTGGCTCATCTGCGTGAACATCCAATTGACTTAAACTACTACCTCCACCACCACTGCCACTATCACCACCCCCAACCCACCGCAGTCCTCCGGACACTACCACGTCACCAAAACTTGCCGCTGGCATTGTCCGACCATAAGCCTCCTCGCTTAGCATCATCCTCCCGATGCTTGTCTGGTGATGTCTGAATGGCTGGGCCCACCTTCCGTACATCATTCCGACGTATGGCTTATGCACCCTAGAGTGCGCCTGAACCCCCAGAGACCGCTTGCTTCCGTACAATGCGGCGGTGGGCCCCATCCCAGTCGTCGCATATCGATGGCATGATGTGGCTGTGGCTGGTTGTAGACGCCGACGTTGAAGTGGTCATGGGCCCCAGCTGGTTGACTGGCCAGCGCAACGGCAGGGCTCGCGCCCGGCTTCGGCCAGCGTCGCTCTCGCTTCTTGTGTGCGTTCTGGTGACCACCAAGTGCCTGTGAACTGTAGAATTTGCTTGGCAGTAGTTGCGCATGAGAATAGCTCTCTGCTCTTGCTCTGACTCCGGTGATTGGCACCGCGCTCCTTTCGCGGTGCCGGCCGCTTCAGGCCTCGGCTGGCTGCTCCCCCGATCGATCCTATCAGATTTAACTCGGTAACCATTGGCCCCAACGATGAAGACGAAGAGTCTTCGCAGGAATTGTCATTATTGACTTGATGATCGGAAAGCCCGAGGCCCAGTAACAACTTGGTCTCCTTCTCTCCATTAATTTCCTCATCTCTGTTTTGATCTTTCTCTGAGATTGAGATGCTTGAGGACTGAGAGATGCTTGTTGCCTCCATCATTGGTTTTGGATTGGATTTGGGATTCGAGCCCATTCTGTTGACTCTTCTCCTTGTTTGTTCAGTATTTAAAGGGGGAGGATTAGAAGTCAAAGGGAAAGAATCTTCATGCAAAATTATGGGAAGTTTTGAATGCAAATCTCCTAAAAATAGGAAAATTTGCTGGTTGCTTGAATTTAATTGGACTTTAAAAATGACCACATGTTGATAATTTAAGAAGAGAAGCCTCACAAGGAAAACTCAAATTTTGTACAGCTAGCTATTAATCTCTTCCATGCCCCCTTTACCCCTTTTTCTTCTTCTGGTTCTTATATTTGAATCCTCGGTTTTTTTACACTTTTGTCGTAGAAATATTGTTAATTCTCACTTTTGGCACATTGACGATCTGTAAGCAGTGGAAAGGAAAAGCAATAAAAGGTGCCAGATGTGTAAATATAAATCATATGATGTCATAAGTGTAGAAGTCTTTTGAAAGAAAGGGTAAAGTGGCAAGTATCCGAGGTGACATGTATTTATTAAGGGAAAAATGCTTCTAGCCCCCAAAACAAAAAGAAACATGTCTCCCACCCCCAAGACTTTTTCAACGGGCTCTTTGCCCCCAAAAGTAAACTAATTATTCACTGAGCCCCCAAAACACAAAGCCCAAGAATTTTACACAGGTAAAGACTATAATACCCATTCTACCCATTCTCTCTTTCTCTCTAACCATGCAATCCGGCCCTCTGCTCTCCCTCCTCCTTCCCCCACCTCTCCACCCGCCGCTGCCGCCACCCTCCTCCTACCATCATCGCCTCCTCCGCCGTCGTCGCCGCCCCCAAAACCAACCTTCGCTGCCGATTGATCCACCGCGTTGATCGTTTCTTCGCCGGCGATCCTCGCAACCTTCGCTGCCAATTTAACCTCCCCGCAACAAAGATTCAGCGCCTTGGAGCTCCCCAGGGACACCACCAACAGATCCTCCGCCCCGTCGGTGAAGGGAAACTTCCTCTTATTAGTAAGCACGTGCGTGATTGTAGCTGCCGTCGGATTTCCCATCCCAATCCCCCCTCCCATCGCTTTGATGTTTAGAAAACATCAAAGCGATGTTAAAATTAGGGAAAAATGCTCCGTGAACCCAAATCCGTAAGATTAGAGACTTTTGTCATTTAACACTTTACGATTAGAGACTTTTGTCAATGAAGTTTGAACACAGAAAAGTACTTCTGCTTTGCCTATTACCATTTAGCATGGCCACACATCCACCACGAGCAAGGGAAATACTACGAATATAGAAAAGCTGGATAATGAACTTCCTTGTATGTTATATCATTCGTCCATAGTTCATGCTCAAAAATAAATAATTGATCCAAAATGATTACAGTATACACCGATAAACAAATAAGCAATAGAAGGCATGATTTTACTAGGACAAAAGGAGTTTGTGTTTGCTTTCCTATGGGTTTACTGGAAAATTAACGAACTTAGAGCTGATATTATTTGCAGGAAGTGTTTTCCCATAATTTTAATGAAATTTTCAAAAGTCAAGTGATTTACGTGTTGGTTGTTAAGTTTACGGGTTGCTTGTTAAAGTTACGCGTTGATTGTTAAGGTTACGGGTTGCTTGTTAAGGTTACGCGTTGCTTGTTAATGAAATTTTCAAAAGCCAAGCGATTTACGTGTTTGTTGTTAAGGTTGCGCGTTGGTTGTTAAGGTTACGCGTTGATTGTTAAGGTTATACACGTTGATTGTGAATGTTACGGGTTGCTTGTTAAGGTTACGGGTTGCTTGTTAAGGTTACGCGTTGGTTGTTAAGGTTATACGCGTCGGTTGTTAAGGTTATACGCGTTGCTTGTTAAGGTTACGGGTTGCTTGTTAATGTTAACCGTAACCTTAACAAGCAACCTGTAACCTTAATAACCAACGTAGAACCTTAACAAGCAACCCGTAACCTTAACAATCAACGCGTAACTTTAACAAGCAACCCGTAAACTTAACAACCAACACGTAAATCACTTGACTTTTGAAAATTTCATTAAAATTATGGGAAAACACTTCCTGCAAATAATATCAGCTCTAAGTTCGTTAATTTTCCAGTAAACCCATAGGAAAGCAAACACAAACTCCTTTTGTCCTAGTAAAATCATGCCTTCTATTGCTTATTTGTTTATCGGTGTATACTGTAATCATTTTGGATCAATTATTTATTTTTGAGCATGAACTATGGACGAATGATATAACATACAAGGAAGTTCATTATCCAGCTTTTCTATATTCGTAGTATTTCCCTTGCTCGTGGTGGATGTGTGGCCATGCTAAATGGTAATAGGCAAAGCAGAAGTACTTTTCTGTGTTCAAACTTCATTGACAAAAGTCTCTAATCGTAAAGTGTTAAATGACAAAAGTCTCTAATCTTACGGATTTGGGTTCACAGAGCATTTTCCCTAATTTTAATGAAATTTTCAAAAGCCAAGCGATTTACGTGTTGGTTGTTAAGGTTAGCGTTGGTTGTTAAGGTTATACGCGTCGGTTGTTAAGGTTACGGGTTGCTTGTTAAGGTTACGCGTTGCTTGTTAATGAAATTTTCAAAAGCCAAGCGATTTACGTGTTGGTTGTTAAGGTTAGCGTTGGTTGTTAAGGTTATACGCGTCGGTTGTTAAGGTTATACGCGTTGCTTGTTAAGGTTACGGGTTGCTTGTTAAGGTTACGCGTTGCTTGTTAATGAAATTTTCAAAAGCCAAGCGATTTACGTGTTTGTTGTTAAGGTTACGCGTTGGTTGTTAAGGTTATACACGTTGATTGTGAATGTTACGGGTTGCTTGTTAAGGTTACGGGTTGCTTGTTAAGGTTACGCGTTGGTTGTTAAGGTTACGCGTTGGTTGTTAAGGTTATACGCGTCGGTTGTTAAGGTTATACGCGTTGCTTGTTAAGGTTACGGGTTGCTTGTTAATGTTAACCGTAACCTTAACAAGCAACCTGTAACCTTAATAACCAACGTAGAACCTTAACAAGCAACCCGTAACCTTAACAACCGACGCGTATAACCTTAACAACCAACGCGTAACCTTAAACAACCAACACCGTAAATCGCTTGCCGCTTCTGAAATTTCATTAAAATTTAGGGAAGAATGCCTTGTGAACAAATTCGTAGATTAAGTACTTTGCTCCATCTTAACAGTTTACGATTAGCAGACTTTTTGTCAATGAAGTTTTGAACACAGAAAAGTATTCATGCTTTGCCCTATTACGATTTAGCAATTGGCCACAATCCACCACTGAGCCAAGGGAGAAATACTACAATATAGAAAAGCTGGATAATGAACTTCCATTGTAGTTATACCATTCGTCCATAGTATCATTGCTCAAAAATAAATAATTGATTCCAAGAATGATTACATTACATCCGATAAAAAATAAGCAATAAAAGCATGATTTACTTAGGCAGAACTTAATTAAAAAGGGAAAAATGACCTTAGGAGAAGCCCTCCTCAACTTATGATACTTGATTAGGACTTCTAATTAAATAAATAAATCAAGAAAAATCCCAAAAGAAACTCCATGTTCTCCTTCCAAAACTCCCTGTTCTCGTAAACCTCCTTCTTCCAGATCGACACCGACGCCTTCACCTCGTTCGATCACAAACCGGCACGCCTCGATCGCGTCGGATCTGTGGACGGCTGATGTCGCGACGAATACGCTGGCCTTGCCGACGGGGACGGTGCCGAGGCGGTGGGAAACGGCGCCGCGGCGGGGGAGCGGACGTGGGCGGTGTCTTGGCGGGGTCCAGGTGGGGGGAGGTGGCGGGGTCCAGCTCTCTCCTCTGCACAAATAAAAAAAGGAAACAAAGGGTATTTTGGGAATATTTATGTTGGTTTTAAACAACATATCACGTGGGGGGTGTTTTGGGGGCTAGAAGAAAATCGCGCAAGTTTTTGGGGGCAAAGAGCCCGTTGAAAAAGTCTTGGGGGGTGGAAGCATGTTTCTTTTGGTTTTGGGGGCTGGAAGCATTTCCCCCATTTATTAATTACTATAAATGAGATAAATAGGAGAGAGTGAGAAATATTATTAACCTACCATTTATGTTGGATTCGGAGCTTATTGCTGAGTACGATGTACGTGGACTTGATAGTTAAAAGGAGATATAATAGGATTATGACTGTTACTATTTTTGGGGTCCAAGTTATCAGGGGTTGGGATCTGTCCATATAAATGCTCGCCATTTATGGTCGAATCCGCTTGGACGCGTTTTATTCGTTGCAAATTATGGTGCTTCACACGAACATATTCGCTTAATGAAAGTATGTATTAAGTTGGAATATACCTACAGATCCTCGTTTTCTTTAGACTTTAATGGTAGTTTTTAAGATTTTAAGTACAATATATTAGTAATTAGGAGAAAAGATACAGTTTAGAGATTATGAATCTTATTGGATTACTTTAAAAGATCACATATTTTTTATGGCGACTCTAATGTCTTTCTTTTTCCTTTTTTACAGGATGAATACTCGTATGAAACAATTGGTATACAGCTCCTGTACATGGTAAAACTATTTAACGCTAGTATAAATTTGCGAATATTATGCGGCTACTTTATGAGAGTTGCCATAAACTTACATCGAAGTAAATGAAGTAATATAATATTAAAAAAGAACAAAGCAGGGAAAAAAAACTATATAGAGAAAAGCGGAGATTTTTTTTTTAAAACTATATTCCCATCAAGATGGTAGCCGAATCTTATTTTGCCCACAAAAGCTGCGAGCGCATGCATACCCTTCGAAAATATTAGTTTTTTGTTTATGCCTTAAGACTATCTCCATCAGGAGTCAAAATTTTAACCTTCTCTCTCCTGCCACATCACTTTATTCCCCCTCCACATAATTCAACAATCTCCATTTTCACATCACTTTATTCCCCCTCCACATAATTCAACAATCTCCATTTTCTATCATCTCTACAGCAGGAGTTTTTTCAAAAGATTTTTTTTCTATCATCTCTACAGCAGGAGTTTTTTCAAAAGATTTTTACTTTATTTGGGACCCACTATAACCCACATAAAGCAAAGAGAAGGAGAATAAGGTGTTGAAAACTCAGATTTTTTTTTTGTCTCCAAATTACACAAGACTAATCTCTATTTATAGAGGTGAAAAAATAAAAATTATTGATATAAAAATTATAAATTAATTCCTAGTATTTATCTCCCAAAATATCATTTAAAAATTAGGAGTAAAACAAAAAAAGCCAACCAATCAAGCCTTGACACATGGCTTGATGCTTGGGTTGATCTACTGTTGCGGGACCCACACGGAGAGAAAAACCGGAGGTGAAATATTCACCCATTGGTCTCCGGTTTTTCCCCCCCGATCTCTACCTGCTGGAGCAAAAAAAAACCCCAATCTCCACCTGCTGGAGATAGTCTAATAGTCATTATCAATCATGCACAAGTTTTCTATATATACTTATAGATAGAGCGATTATTGGTTGCGTTCAAGTATGCGTTACGCTCTATAAAGTAGCATTAAGTAACTTGCAGGGAAATGCATCTAGTGCTATTTTTCTTGTACGCAGCGAGCAGTAACCACCGATTATTTTCATGTTCAGATGTTCGAACTTCCAGTTTAATTTGGACGCATGAATGTTGCCATCTTTTTTTTTTAATATATTGTTGGAAACAAACCTGGGCTTTACGGACTCTTTTTTTTTTTTTTTATAGGCAAATGATCTAGTCATAACAAAGCTGGTAATAATTTGTAGACGACATGATCAAAGTCATAACAAAGCTGCAGGTAATAATCTGTAGACGACCAGTACGTGTCCTAAGGCGTATAGGCACGTGTACAAGCGAATCGATCTGTGATCGACATGTGGCAGACATGTAGGAGACAGTATAGCTTCACAAACTTCTTTTCTCCTTTACGACGTGCTAGCTGCTTCTCCTCTTTGAGATAAGCTAGCATTTGCTTTTTTTGTTTGGTCCTTTCTATTTTCATCACTTTAGCTTAATTAAATCCACTGACGCCATGATACCGCAACATGATTGGCTATAAGTGGCTTCTAGTGCTTTTGAGACCCTTTTCGTTGCAATTGTCGAAATGCCTAAAGTTTACAAGCAGAGAGAAGATAAGGACAAATTTTCAAAACCAACTTATTTGGACTTTTATTCCCAAAAAAAGACCCGTTTCACATTTATTTAGAGAAACCGACCTGGTTTCAGCCTCAGCGCTGAAACCAGGTCGGTTTTTGAAAAAATCACGGGAGTTGAACTCCCGTGAAGTTTTTTGAACTACGAAACTTCACGGGAGTTCAACTCCCGTGAAGTTTCGGAGAGTTTTTTTTCAAAAACCGACCTGGTTTCAGCACTGAGGCTGAAACCAGGTCGGTTTTTGCAATTATTTTTGAATGGGGTCGTTTTTTGGGAATAAAAGTCCAAATAGGTTGGTTTAGAAAATTTGTCCGAGAAGATAAATAACATCTTATGTGAGGATATTCTTAATGTATCTTGTGCAAAGGATATTCTTTTGTTGGAGATCGTCAATTTGAGTTTGAAGGAGACCGTATCTTGCGGATGATCTCAGTGTGGACATCAGAGGAATGCGGATACTTTTCAGTCTCTTTAACTCTGTAGAAGATTACATCACAGCCTATGTAAATTCGTCCGTTGAACTTTCATCGTTATGCAATGAGCCCCCAATAAGTTTCAAAGCAGCTCCTCTCTCCCGACAACTTTTGGAATCGCAGAAAACACTCCAATTAGTTTCCACATTCTGCAGATAACCCTCATAAATTAGAGCCAAAAACAATATAAAAGAGGCATTTTGAAGTTTATTGGGAGTTTTGTGTAATTTAACCGAAAGATATCGGGGGTTTCAGCAAAAGTTATTGGGGTTTTACTGCAAGACAGTAAGAGGTCTTGGCGGTTTAGTGTAAGTTTACCTGATATATCTTGTACGTATCGGACGCATAGACACTTTTATGTTAGCAGATGCATGTTTGAGTCGTGAAATAACATGGACTGGATGCCTCAGAGTAATGTGCATAAATGCTCTGCAAACTTATAGAGTTCTGCTTTTTAACTCGCCACCGCCCAACTCGCGGGCAGCTCGCAAGAGCCAAAACAGTGTTTTCGCTCTTGCGAGCTGCTCGCGAGTTGGGCGGCGGCGAGTTAAAAAGCATTTTCGAAACTTATATTGCCTTGCTTTTATACTGGAATTTTGATAATTTTGTATTTGTGAATATCATATGGTATTCACGCCACATATTAATAGTGTCCCAGCATTAAGCGCATACTTAGAATACACGGGGGCCCTAAGGTCTTCGTTCGATACAAATAAACTTAATTAGAATTGCTCCAAGAAAGGAAAAAAAAATTATATAGAGGACCCTAAGTTCCAAGCTATGTGCTGCTTAACTATCAATTTCAAATATTAATTTATCGTTTGCACTGATATTTTAAATATTAGTATATTTATACTGCTTATAGTAATTGTATACATTGAATATTGATATAATTTGAGAGCAGCGAACGACTCCCATCCTACTAATATCAATGCCCAAATGAACTATAGTTTAAAAGATGGATGTTTTACAATGGAAAATCAGAACCCAAAGCAATTCATAAGGGCTTATTTGCCCAGGACCCATTGTATACTCTAGGAGAGTTGATTCAAGTTACACTCAATTGATCTGAGGTCTGCTTCTTTTTTGTTTGTTTCACTCATTTACATCTTAGCCCTTATTGTTCAAAAAATTATAACATATAACTGTCCCTTTTTCTTTGACTAGAAGAGATACACGTGCATTGCACGTCTTTATTTGTTCGGTTTATTTCTTTAGTATAACTTGGTTGTAAAAGTGTTTCGTTTAAATCCTCACTTGATGACGTAATATTATCTGTGAACTTTCTTAATACTTACATTTATGTATTTTCAGCTTTTATTTTATGTGTCGTTGTGACCATAAGCAATGTAAGCTACAAATTATTGAAAAATATTATTCGCTTATAAACCATGAGCAATGTAAGCTACACATTATTCGAAAAGTGTTGGATATTTTTTATCAAAACCGCTTTCCAAAAATGAGTTTTCAAACTATGTATTTATTAACTACTGGTATTTTGTAGAAATTCTTTGTAGCGTAGCGGAAAGTTAAAGTTTTGATATCTTAAAGGTCCTGTGTTCGAGGCTTGCCAACGGCAAGCCGAAAATTGTTTTTATTTTATTAATCTCTCATAAGTTCCAGGGGGTTGTAGGTCGTGGACTCGTGAGCCGTGGGCCAATGGGCCGAGGATCAGGGCTAATCGGGCTGAGCCGTTAAATGGCGCTTTGTTAGACGTACTTTGCACTTCGCATGAATGCATCAAGGCTAGGTGGCGCCACGTTGGCGGCCACACAGTCTGCCTCGCATTCGCATGAGGGTCGCACCCTCGCGTTCACAAGAGGCAACGCGACCCCTCGCATTCCCCTCGCATTCACAAGAGGGAACGCGACCCTCACGTTCGCACGAGGCTGGACGCGACTCTCGTGTTGCGTAGGATTATGACCCTCGCGTTCAGACGTTACTGCATGTAGTAGTTACAGCGTTTATGTTATTTGTCGTTACAAATATAATTGACATAATTGTCATTATGTTTATAACGTTCAAATTAAATGTGGGTGACCTTTAAGCTGGTCTTAGAGGCCTATATATAGTGCCTCTTGGGGAGCTCTTGAGAACAAGAGATACAAAAGAGATAAAAAAAACACATAAATGTTTTGTGTTGTTGTGCTGCTGCTGTAGAGTCTGTAAGCGTGAAAGCTTTAGTCTGTGCCCGAAGGAACATAGCTTTGAACCGAAAGGTTTTTAACAGATCGAGGAAATCTCTGCCTGAACCGAAAGGTACAGATCGAGGGGATCTCTGCCTGAACCGAAAGGTTATTGAACCGAAAGGTTTTAACAGATCGAGGAGATCTCTGCCTTGACCGAAAGGTTTTATAGATCGAAGAGATCTTAACAGTAGTGGGTCGGTGCACACCAGAGTATTGTACTACTGTTCCTGAAAGCAGTTTGGTCTTGGGATCCTTGCACCGGAGTAGGCCAAATATTACTTTAAGCACATCGTTTCATAAATACACAGTAGCTAAACTTGAAAAAAGTTTTAAATTACATCATTTCAGTTCTCAGTGTTTTATTACAGATTTAGCTACAGACGCCAACAAAAAGATTATTCGCTCATATATCAATCAATTTCTTCAATGCCTCAAATCTAATAATAACAGATGACATAAAATCCTTTTGAAGTAAAAAAGTAAAATGAAAAAAAATCTTCTGTCTTAATTCCTAAAGACTGTAGAATAAGAAAACCTATCATCATTTAAGAAAACTTCTTCATAAGTTTGCAAAGATAACCACATTGAACTATTAGGTTGCTCAATTCTTATTATATTAATATTAATTCATCAAATCATTGAAATAGCTATTAGATCCGCAATTCTTAAGTTAATATTTACACTTGCAATACATAATATGTTTCCAATGCTAATGTGCTCTAAGCTTCTTTTTACTCTTTAAATTCTAATTAGATCAATTTTTTATTAATTGGTTTTGAATGAAGAGAGCTTTAATTCAGGACTTTAAGCTTCTTTATACTTTTTAGTTGTCAACCAATTCTAATTAGATCAATTTTTTATTAATTAGTTTTGAATGGAGAGAACTTTAATTCAGGAGTTTAATTATAATTTAATGGCTTTAGTTGATAACTAATTATATTTAGGATAAGAATGTTAATATTAAAAAGAATTAGGTGTAAAATTGACCAATGAAAAAAATTCAAGAACTCCCACTTTTAAAGGGAGTATGATATGATATGATTTCCCAAAGGCAGGCCAGGGCTCTAAAGGACCCCACGGGCCTTCGCCCCTGTTTACAGTGGAGTTTGTTTTGATTAATCTAGATTTATATTTTGTGCATCAATAAAATGGAGCCAAGGTAAGTGACTTTCATTTGGTGTAAATTCTAAAATGAAACTAAGATGTCTAAAGATAAACAGTTGCAATCTTTCAATTAGTTTTATGATGAAATATCATGGCCAGCGCTGGATTTTCTAGAATTCCTAGCTAAAATATTCAAACTATATTTACCTTGCCTTATTTGGATCGGACGGTCGGCTCTTGATTAAAGATGGAGAAACGGTACTTGATGAAGGAATGAATGTGAATTACAAAACCATTTGTTTTCTAATGTTTGTGAACCTACTTAATTATGAAATGAATCGTGAGTCTCTACACGAACTGACGAACCTAACTACTTTTCTGGAAGGGGTGAGGGCATATGTTAGTCAAGAGGTAGATGATGATGATGATGATGAAAATAATGAAATCCACAATGACAATAATGGAGATAGAGATTTCGACGATGATGACAAAAATCTTTGAAAGCCTTTGACTCTGATTTACTGAGATGTTCCCTGCTTTATAATATGTTTCAGGTATGAGTTTGTAGGCTCCGGAGGATTTATTATTATTTTTTGTTTAGGTCAAAATGTAATCATGAATAAAATTAATTGTGCTATCATTACTTGGGACCTTATTATAATCTTGCTATATAGAAATTGCTCTATGTTTCAAAATGTACATCTCGACAGTGCAGCTTCTTGTTTTGGGGAATTTTTTAAAAAAAAGACTGATTTTGCTAAATAATTAGCAAAACAGACCTCTTTTTTGTCTGTTGATCAAAAAGATGTCGATTTTAAAAAACAGACTGCTGAAGACATACGGGACTAATAGTCCCGTATGTTTTCAGCAGCATGTTTTTTTTTAAAATCGACATCTTTTTGGTTTGTTGGCTAAAAATAGGTCTATTTTGCTAAATAATTAGCAAAATAGACCTATTTTGCTAATTATTTAGCAAAATCGGTCTTCTTTAAAAAATTCCCCTCTTGTTTTTAACTATGTGTGCGCACGTGTGTAATACACTATTATTGCTTATTCTTATAAATTGAATTAAAATCTAACGTCTGCAAAGTTAGGGAAGTTTATCATTACAATTCTTGTTTAACAAGAAGGGGTTCTTGTGCTGTTGAGTAATGAATCCAGGTTCCCATAATCTTATTGGGCTACCCTATATAATGTTGCTTGATGGCAGAAAACCGCTGGATTTGAAATTCTTGTATGTCCCGAGCCGATAAGTAACAACATGACATAAATTATGTAAATAAAGTGGTATTTAACAAAGGGATTATTTAGCAGAGAAAAAGAGTGTTATCTAGATCCTAATCAATTCATATCTCTACAATTCTGCAGTGACACATAAAGGAACTAATACTTGTACGTTAATCCAGCTAATTTATATGTGAGAAAAATGCGAACCTTAAAGAACTACATTTAAAAGTCAATATTAGAATGCCCTGCTGATAAAAACAGAGAAAAAATAGTGTATTTTTTTTTTACCTGAAAAACAGGGTGAGATACCATGTTCATAAGATATATTATATAAGGATATTTAAAACAAGTCTGATACAAAAACAAAAACCAACAACAGAGCCAAGAGGTAAGAACACAGTAGGGAAGCTGGTAAGGAGCGGATCTAGTCGTCACCCACCGAACTAACACTAACAGTGTTCTCACCCAAGGCCAAAAGAAAAACACACAAGATACTATGTTGTCTGATACATCAAGGCCCCAACACAGTAAAAAAGAAAAAGCCAACAACACCATATCCTACTCAAAACACAGTGAGAACTAGGGCAGAGAGGAAGACCCACCGCATCAAAAATCGTGCATTTTTTATCCTTTATATCAGAATAATCCAATCCAAGCCGGCTCCTTTTTTTTTCATTCTCCCAGATGATTCAAACCAATAATAGACGGAACTTTATGTTTACCTTTCGATAATACAGCCTCCAACAGGAGGTAAATGAAAGTTACCAAACAAAATAGGAACTCAAAAACAAATACAATATATATTTCACTGTCAAAAGAATAGCAAAGCTTTGATTTCAAACTAACTGCACAAGCTTCCTCTAACAAGCAGCAGCAGCAGCAGCAGCAGCAGCGAAAGAGATACAGATACTCGTATCTACAGAAGATAACCCTAATTGTAGATTGTTCAATAGCTGACATTCTTCAACTTTACCCTACTTTGTCAACCAATAAATCAAAATAAGAAAGGTACAAACAGAGGCAACAAGGGAGAGGATTATGGTATCCATAGATTTCTTTCTTCTGATTGACGAGAGAATGTGATTCACCTACGACCATAACGGTATGGATCTGTTACTTAATAACACAGCCATGATAAGAGGGTTATTTGCACTTAAATACCCCAAGTTCGCCTCATTTTCACTTAGATAACCAAAAGTTTTTTGTTTGCCCAAAAATACCTGGCAATTCAACAAAATTTAACTTTGATACCCAAGCTTAAAATTTTTTTTGTTAAAAGTTTGGAAATTCAAAGATAAATTTTCGTTAAAGCTCGGGGTATCAAAGTAAAAAAATTTGGTTAAAATCTAGAGGTATAACAGTTAAATTTTGTTGAACTTCGCGGTATTTTTTTTGGGCCAAAAAAAAAACTTTTGCGTATCAAAGTTTAAAAAAAACTTTGGGGTTTCTTTTTTTGGGCAGAAAAAAACTTGGGGGTATCAAAGCTAAAATGGAGTAGACTTTGGGGAGTTTACGTGCAAGTAACCGGAAAAAAAAGCGAGTTTCAGGTGGTAAAAGAAGAGGATTTCTTACTGTAGGAAGGCGACTGCTAACATTGGTTAGCTTAGAGCCGATACCGCTGAATGTTGAGCGTTGCATAACAAGTGCCCCTAGAGTAGCTTGGGCATGCGAAATTACATTATCCATCTGCAGAAGAATACTGGTAGTGAGTATGAGTCTGCTAGAATTATCGACCGGCTTGAATCATATATTGATTTTATAATTTACTCTGTAATTCACTCTACTTGCTTTAGGTTTATAAGTATGATGAAAAATCCCCAAGATATAGGCACCCACTTATAATAAATGCCCCTCCAACTTAGCTGAGGGTATATTTTGTTTACTGGTATAAAGAAGGGCATTCTCGCTATAAACCCTACCGAAGATCATCTTCAAATCTCATTTTTAAAACCTTAATAAAGAACCCATCTCCCACGCCAACACAGTCAGATATGTTGCAACTCCTGGTCATGGTGCTCTTATGGGTTTAATGTTCCATCATTCCTACTTCCAAAGACCAAAGTTTTTATTCATAAGTAACCAAAAAAATAAATTTTAAAATATCCACCCTGAAACACGTTAGAGAGCAATATTCAATCATAGACTATTGAGGTTTTATAGCAGAAAAACAAAATATGACAGGATTGCAGAAAGACACTAGGAAATATTTTATATTCGTCATTTCTAGTAACAGGACCTTCTATGTATGTCAATTTCAATCTAGTATCTAATCAACTTAAGTAGTAATATCATTTCTTATAAAATAAAGAAAGTTAAGCATATCACAAACTTAATGCTGACTTAAATTAGAGCGTGTCATATAGATGACACTTGACACAGAGCTGCCTAAGAAAAAGTGATGCAAGCTTTGCAAAGTAGGTTCTTCCACTGCATAACCTGCTAGTCCTGTTTCTTAATAATATTAACTTTGCATGCCATCACATGACTCTAGTTGGCATGCTTCTCACTTCTTTGATCCATGCCCTCATTAAGCTCAGAATTCAGTAAGTCTCCTTCCTTGAATCATCGAATACCAACAGTTAGTTTTGTTAAATTTGTAGCGGCCTACTTCTTTTCCCTTGTTCTGTATATGATATTTGTAAATTCCGCTAATGCTATATATTTCGAAGTATATAAATATCTGATTTTCCCTTGGGTAATCTGAATTCTCAAGTATTTTAACTTCTTTGCATTTGTTCACCTTAGGCTTCAAGGTAGGGCCTCATATAGTGTTCTTGATAGATTCGACAAATGTCTGAAATAACCAGAATAGGCTTCATCGATGGCACTTAAATCATAGGTTTCGTCAATGGCACTTAAATCATAGGTTTCGTCAATGGCACTTAAATCATAGGTTTCGTCGATGACACTTAAATAATGGTGACATAGGGAAACCCAGCTTTGTGTTGTTCAACTGGATACTACATGTAGAGAAAATGTATCGCTCTTGAAGAGCTTTAATGTATTTAAACTTGTCTAAAATACTAGCTGTATGAATTTCTGTTACCAAGCATTAATTTAGATCTTTACTAAAATATTGAATTGACTTATTTTAGATTTTTTTTTTATAATTTTTTTAAGTAAAACCAATGAACATATGCTTGGTTTTCTCAAGCTTTGAATAATCGGACAGTAGGTACACTAAGTAGGTATAACCATATCTTATCAGATTTTAAGCATGCTGATGACTGATCCACTTCATATGAACCCAAAAGATTCCACCAACACTGGCAATTAATAATTTATTCAGCTTGATATTAACTAGAAGTGACCATTACATGAGGAGATCTAAAGTTCGAAATACAAGAATTAGTTGATAATATTAGGGAGGGGGAGGAGAGGGAGGGAGAGGAAGGGGAAGGGGGCGAGGCTAATGTCGAAAGATAGTTCATTATCAAAGCATCCGAAACTTCCACACCTACATCCAACACTTATGATCTGACACTTGACAAAACTCAAAATTCTTGAATAAATACTGTAAATTATTTGTGGACATTGATAGATTTCAAACCTTGGTTTTTTCAAGTTTATCAATGTGTCTTGTACTTATCACACAATTTCATTCATAAGGCATCAAGTGCCATTAGAATATGACACAAGTGACCCGGCTGCTAGGTCTAACAATTAAGAAGGAAACCAGTCATTCATTTCTCATGACTCATGAGAAATGAACGACGATAATAGAGCATAGAAGACATCTACCTGTCCAGTGCTTCTACTAATAGTTGCTTGCTCTCTTAGGAGAGCCTGGTCAGCATAATTGCCACCCTCTTCCAAGTCCATTCTGGCACTGTCAAAATCTCTGAAATCCAGGAGTGATGCATGTTCTTGTTTAGCTTTAAGGCTTGACCGAAGCCGGTAAAATTCCTATAATTGGAACATAAAGTCTACATCAGAGAAAGAAAATAATGTTTGACAATCAAGTTGTGCCACAGCCTACAAAGTTACAACCGTTTATCTACCAAGAAGGCAGACCAAGCTAAAAGCTTGTAAAATTTTCCTTAAATTTGCAAGAAGTCAATCCCTAGGATAAATTTATATATTTAAAAGAATTAATAACCATGCTAGATTTACAGTATGCCAAAAGGGACGAACATGTCACCTGTGTAAGATCTTGCAAAATCTCTGTGTGCCGGTTCAAGGTATGCGAAAGGATTTCTGAGCCTCCTGATGATACCCAAGCTTGCATCTGGGAGTTTACTTGCTGAAGTTGCTTCAGTAGTCTATCGATGGCAGGTTCAAGGTCATTCTCTGAACCATCACTTCTTGTAGCAACCAGTCTACGATACGTATTCAACTGCTCATCCAACTGAGCTTCAAGTTTCCTTGCCTGGCGGTGAGGAAAGCATCAGCTAATAAAACTAGAAAATACAACAGCTAATGGACATCTAACAAATACCTAATAATTCAGAATTTAAGAAAAAAGCGCAAAAAAGGAACTGCAGTTTCAATTAACAACAATCAGAGGCATCATTCGTGTATTCTATACTCATACATAGTCCAGAGATTGACAATCAAATTTTCAGTTAAATCAACTACACTACATGAATACGTACAAGACTTCGAAGAAGTAGAAAATACAGCTCAAGGGAAATAAAAAATTTCAATGAGAAGTCAAAATAAAAAAAACTTACGAATATACCAAAAAGGTTATGAGACTAATAAAAACCAAGTTTCATCAATACCATAAAAATGAAGTAATTGTGGGAGAAAATTATATGCTTGAACATTTGAGAACTCAAGGAATTGAAAATAGAATTTTGATTACAGATAACTCTGGAATGACTTAGAAGAAGGATTAAAATAGACTTTTGTTGTCGTGAATAAGAACAAGGCAACAACTTCATATCTTATAAGCACTTACAATTATAATGTACCAAATTATGTTAAACTAGAAGACCTATCTCATCACATCTAACACACTAATTCAGATTACTGAAATGTCATCACTTACAGTTACAATTTATCTTATCTTTCTACACGCAACAAATAAATAAAATACATGTCAGCAAGGTTTTAAATGTCGGATGTTGGGTTCATGTCGGACGGCTAAAATTCATGTCGGATAGCAAAAATCAAGGATATGTTGGGGGATATGAAAAAAATTATCGGATTGTCATATTGAATGGTGTGCATATGTGTAATATAAATATCATAAATAAAATCTAAACAGACTTAATAAATTCCATTGTCTAAACATATAAAAAACTAAATAACTTATGATTCTTAGAGTTGATGTTGAAGGAAAGATGTTAGCAAAGAGGACTCCGATGTTGGCGGTTAAGAAGAGAGAAGATCACCCGATATTGATGTCGAAGGAATAGCTCGGAGAAAAGACCGATGAGATGTCAAAGCAGAGAGAGAAGATGAGTGACGAAAATTACTTCGGTCTTTTTTTCTATTTCCCTTAACTTATCGATTTTTTTTCTATGGAAGTAATATTAAGACATTCAAGAATTTAAACCCAAACATGATTAGATAAACATAACAAAAAATTTTAAAAAAATTAGCCAATTTTTCAAACTTAAAAATCGGCCAACATAACCAACATGTCCCTTGACATATTCGCCCGACATATCTGACATGTCCTCCGATATATCTGACATGAACCCTGAAATTGTAATATGCGTCAAAAAGCTCCATATCATGTCGGATAGCCGCTAAATCCGACATGTTGGCCGAGCTGACGTGTCAGACATGTCGGCCGACATTTAAAACACTGCATGCCGATGCCCTAATCTAGGAAGGCATGTTCCAAACTAAAAACGTACCCGCATAGTTTCCACAAAACATTGAATTAAACTTCTTTTTTCCACCGAACAAATTGCAAAACAAGGAAACGAATATATGATCCCACACATAAATGTGAGAGCTGCTGATAAACGCGGATGATTTGCAAGTTATTTAATCTCTTAGGTCTCACCTTTAAGTTTGCTCCTATCCCAACAATTTTCTAAACAAATTCCATATGCACATCC